GTCAACATAAATCAGCTAAAGGCTTCAACTTTGAACTTCACTTGGCATTCAGAGCCATTGAGCGGTAAAGAATCTTTATCTTGCCAACGCCTTCCGTAACATGGGGCCTCGGTTTTTAAGGTCTCATCCGAAACTTTTACTTTGAATTGCCCAGCGCATTGCGAAGGGACAGTTGCTACCCAATCGTTTATCGATATAGGTCAGTCACGGCCGGGATTAAAACTCACGACCTCCCTGTCACGAAGCGAGAGCTCTGCTAAATTGAGCTACAGTGAACGGTTTTTCTACAAATAAACCACAGGAAAATAAAATTTTCCCTGCATTCCATTCGTATCTCTGTTTGTGTATCTGTCCTATTAGATTCTCAATATCTTTCTCAAAGATATCTGATATACATTTGTATTTGCATGCATTGTTGCGTCTATTTTGATGTTTTCGAAAAAAAAATCTTATTTCATTCGTTCAATCCACTTGTTCCTTGCAAAAAAAAACCACTTCCCTCCAATACATTTTGTCTTTTATGAATTCTGCAAGTCTCAGTTGAGTTATACAATCCAACCTTTTATCACAATAGATACAGCTGCACTTATGTAAGAAATCCACTACGTCATACGTGTTTGCTTCTTTACTCAGTATAATGGATGTTCATACTGTAAGTTGAATACATTTAATATCATAAAAAATATTCCGCGAACATAAAAATATCGTACATTTATGACAAACTTAGCATCCATATTAAACAGAAAATCCTGTTTCTTTTTTTCTTTGTTAAAGTAAGAGGTTAATCATTAAACAATGTAAGAAAATTCAATGTGAAAAACACATTTTAAGAAAAAAAAATTGAAACGTTCGTTAATTAAACTTTATGTTTTGAGAATTATTACTAAATTTACAAATATGCTATAATGAAAAATCAATGACTGTGAGTGAATATTAATTAATAATTAATAGATTAATAATTAATAAGTACAATTTAATAGAATTTGACGTGTTAAAATCGCAGAATTTAAGTTTTAAGCGACAAACTTCCACAAAACGTAAAAAATTTAAAGACAAGTTTGGATGTCAAAATACCTAATTCAAAGCTTACAGAAAGATTTTATGTAACGCTTTGGTTTAGACCAATCTGCTTATGCATCGGGGTTTTCCTCCATTCCATCATTTATGGTAAATGCATGCAGATATCCCATTTAAATAAATCTGATTACTCATTTAACTGAAGAGGAAAGGATAAATGAATTAGCTATGCTATCTGTAATCCATATTTATATTAACAGCACATGTATCTGAAAATTTGTTAAGACAAATAATAACTTCCGTTGGAAGAGAAGACTAATGACCAGAAAAAGGGCTAATGAACAATGCATCTACGTTGTTAAAAAGCTATAAAAATATTGTTTGTTCAAGTTAATTTAATTTTTTATTAATGATAAGTGATTTATTTATCATGTGTTTATGACTGAGGGGGAAAAACAAAATAATTAAGCAGAAGAAAAGCAAAAAGGAAAGGAATTCAATCAGTATGAAATTTAAATGGAATAGTGATACAGCTGTGTAACAACAGTTAATTCTGCGATTTCATTTTTTTTTCTTCGTTGGCTATTAAAATTTTCTTTGGGCTAGTAATAATGTCAAATCCTTTAGCCCTACTGGCTAGTTTCTCAGAAAAGTTTTCTTTTGGTCTATTTAAAAATCATTGAATCATAAGCCTAAGCTGCAGAGGGCGATGAAACGAGTTCTTTATGATTTGCAAATTGGTCTTTTTAAAATAACGATTGATTTGGAAAAAAATCAGCATTTGCTGAATGATTTGTCATTTTATTCAAAATCACTGAGTTCTAAGGTATGCATTTTAAAAACCTACACTGTAGCAATGAGAGTAATATTTGCTGACAATGTTGATAGATTTATTTTTATGCCTTATGTTAATAATTGAGATTTACAATTTCCTTACGCTTATGTTTTTCCTAAATTACAGAAAATGGTCTATGACTGCGAACTAATAATGATAATATAAAAAAAAAATTCTAAGAGACAGTTGCATCTACCCAATGGTATTCCAGTACATGTAACAAAAACAAAGGAACCATTTTTACACAATTAATATAATTTTGTCACAATTATTTTCCTTGTTTGTCGTACGTGTTACTCTTCTCTCTTGTGATCCGCTCATAATCAGTGTTCATTCTCATAGGTCTCCCAATCACATCAGAATATGTCTCTCGTAGTTCCTTAAAGGATTTTAATGACCTATTAAAAATAAAAAGTTAAACTGTAAAACTCACACAAATAACGATTAGGAATACAGGATATCTTTTGGCATGAAATAACTGACAATTACCTGGTTTGGCGCCACAGTAATAGAGTCAGAAAAAGGGCAATCAAACCCAGTATAGTTGATATTGGTATACATATAGACAAGCAGGCCTCTAAAATTCAAAACAAATTGAATTCATAAAAAAGGAAGAAATCGAAATCCAGTCACTGCACATAACCTATCACTTATGCCACGTAAGAAACGGCAATCTGTAAGAAACTTTTTCCTCTAAAATAGGACAATTTTCAATGTGTTGTGTACTTTCCTGAATTTGACTTACTCTCATAAAAGTGTGCATATTTCTTGGCTAAAAATTACCTTAAAATCTACACGTTTGTTTTAAATTCATAGTGAAATATTAAATAATGCAAATTACTTAAAACTATGTCCGAACTGAAGTCTAAAATAAAGAAACCGTGATTTTCAAAATGTTAATAAAGGATTTGCTTGTTAATTTTGTTTTCAAATGTTTAGCACGTTAGAAAAATTCTGGGAAAAAAAATTGCATTTATAAGGATGATTTTGGTCCCCAACAATGACCTAGGTCGCAGAGAATATACGATTTATAACTGTATGATCTTTTATTTACAAATAATTATACATATATTGAAAAATTAAACTATTTTAGTGTTTCAAAAAGAATTTAAAAAACACAAAAGTGGACGATGAACTAGTACGTGGGGAAATGGACAGTGACCTGATGACATTTAATAGCAAGTACACTCTTAGGCTATCAAGAGACTTAATAGGTTTATAGTCTATCAACAGCTATATTCAAATCTTTTAGTAATGGTTCTTAATTTACCAAGTCTTGAGAAAGCCGGCATTATATATGACTGTATGTTCTGCTTTTAACATTTCTACAGAAAAAATGAAATCATAAAAACTCTGTATTTTTTCTTTTTGATGATATAATTTGAATCGGTAAAAATACTAAACTGAAAAATGTTTTCAGATGATATACAGTATGCAACATACCATCTGTATTTGAATCAGGTCTACGTCATAAAGATTAACATCTTTTGAAATGCTCATAAAAAAAAAACACATTGAATATCCGTAAAGATTCTCTTAAAAAACGATCCAATTTATTGTCATATTAACTTGCATGCATTAGCATAAAATTGTCATGACATCAAAAATATAATGCAATGATTGAAAAATAGCTCAAATTACGTAATGTCATAAGTGTCACATAAATTACGCTCTTCGTGAAATATATTGGGGTAAGCAATGTATTTAACATCCTTATGAATTTTCAGAAAGTCACAAGTTTTTTTTCGTTCACTTGCTACCATGATGATTATTTTAATATTTTAGACTTACCTTCTTCCTAAATTGAAGAACAAGATAATTCTGCCACTAATTCATCCGTTGAAGAGGTTGTCCTTTCAGTAAATTGTGAGGTGAAGTCGTATGATCTAGTCGCTTTATTCTCTTCTACTGTGGTAATGTTTGTGTCTGATAAATTATATGATGTAATTACAAATTACTTTCACTCTAGGTTCTAAATAAAGTTTGTCTTTTATCACCAAAATAAAGTGTGGCATACATAACTAAAATATCTCAGTCAGAAATATCACAATTAATTGTAGACTTATGAAATACATTCTGTAAGCCAAAATAAAACCATACAATATATTTATGCGATATATACTTCCCAACCAAAATTTTATTAATACATATCTATATGTAGATGAATTTTTATTCTGTATTTTATGAGAAAAACAATGATATATATAAAATCATAAATACTAATTTAGAATCCAATTACTTGCATTAGCACTACAATAATACAACAAATATTTCATGGTTTATCGAAGGTTTTTCACCTTGTATGTGAATATCTAATAGTTTATTCTTTTTAAATCGCTGCGATATGAATTTAAGATTTTTCATTTTTAAATGTTCAAACTACATGTATTAATTAAGACATTATATATGGACTCAAACGACATTTACGCATCACCGTTATTATCTACAAGGAGTAAAAATATAAAAATTAAAAACTGCAAAAGTCAAAAAAAGCATCTATTCTCACTCTGCATTTATAGCAGCTGATAAATTAAATGTATCATTTTGAACATGTAATGGATAAGATAGATGAATCTTTAAATGGGAATGAAATTTCACATCTCAATCAGTTACTGATATTTATTGATTGAATTGGATATAGAAGTCAGTTTCCTCGATTCATAAATATTGTTATCTAGGCAATCTTTAGCTTTCCTGTTGACATAGGTTTTCGTCCAAGACTCGACACACTGGGTTGGAAAAGGATTCAATACGAAGGTGTCTTTGGAAAAAAAGGATAAGAAAAAGTAGGTGTGATATCTTTTAGGGTCAAAATCTGTTTAAATTACCAGAAACTTTCAAAACAATCCCTGAGATTGCAAAAATTCTTTAACTTATCAGAAATACCAGATACATTTAATACATATGACTTTCATGTCAAAACCAAGGGTAATCTACTCGAGTTCATGTCGAGCACGCAAAAGTCAAAGTTTATTGATTTTCTGTCATGTTTGGACTTCATTTAAAGTCCAAAAAATATTATAAAAATAATTTTTATTGAAAGCAATTTTATTGGATCAATTGAAAAGGCATTTACTTTTGTACAGAATACATATAATGTACCAATGAAGATTATAATGTTTATATAATGAGAGAAAGAGAGACTCACCACAAAACAGTTCTCTTCCATTCTTATCCATATCACTCCCAGTCACATTCTGTGGAGTAGTATTTTGGTGACAAATCATTTTTTTCTTGGTTACAATTAATTTAATATGAGGTCTGTAAACTACTATTGATCCGTTACATGTTATGTTATTAAGCATGTTCCTGAAATACGGCATGTCCCAGAAGGAGATCTTTGTATTCGCAATGCATAAATCTATGTTGTAAGTTGAAGATGCATTTTGGTATTCTGCGTGAAATGTTGTATTCAGCTGAAATTAATAATTGCGTATACATGTATAAGTGCATGGAGCTGCATAATTATGTTGAACTTAATACAGACATCATTTGCGGTTTTTACATTTGTATAATTTTTTAAAGAGTATGCTAAAAAACATGCAGAAATATTATTTAAACAAATGTTTGAGAATAGCCAGATAGCTTTTGTTATCTATAAAATACTTAATTCATTGAAGTGATTTTGTCTCTTTGAAAGGACCATTTCAAAACCCAAAATATATAAACGAGAGAAAGAGAGGGTTCTCCAATGCAGTAAAAAATTATTAGTCAATTATCCGGTATTTTATGATCCAAATGTCTGAGGAATTTTAGCATGCTTGTATAAATGAATGTGGGTTTAGAATAAAATAAGCCAGGGCTATGTATATATGTGTACATGTATATAAAATACAAGTATAGGAATTTCAAAACAACTTGAAAAGGGTTTTATGAACATTACCTCAAACGCCTTAAAAGAAAATTTAAAAGTCGCATTCACATCGATATTTAAGTATTTGCAGATGTCGATGAAATTGTCTTCAAGTGTTTGTTTTGAGTTCTGTAAACGCTGTGAAATATTGTTGCAATGCGTTGGGGGAACTTCAAGACTCCAGATGGTGTAGTACTCCATAGCTACTACAGGTACACCTGAAGGAAATTTGTGTAGAAAAGACATGTTAAAATATTGAGATGTACATCATGTGCATCAATTTAAAATACTTTTTAAAGATATATTTTGTACAACTTAAGTATATCTTAAAAAGTCATGTTCTTACGATCAAATTGTGTTCAAAATCATGTGATTAAGTCCAGAAAACAAAGAGTTATTAAAGAATTGCTGTCGTTCACCTACGTTTACAAACCATAGATGTTGAAGTCCAGCTGTCATTTAAACATTAAAACATTGTTTTCCTCTCTCCATTAGAGAATATGTATCCCCTGTAGCATTCTGATGTACAAGTATCATTAGATGAACAGGAAACGTCTGCATTTTCTATCAACGTCTCTACTCCGTCTAGGGAACAGCAGCTAATGAAGTCTTAATTGAAAAGATATAAACAAAACCATACATTAATAAAATTTATCAGACCTTATAAATCGGTACTTTTATAAAAAAAAAAAGAAAGAAATTTCTACCTATAATCACAGCCAAAAACAATAGAACATCCAAATAGATTCTCATTTTCAAGAAGACGCTAAAGTCCAAACCAAGGAAATAAAAGAACCTTCAAATCTGGATCGCATGTTTATAAATGCACACTCTGGGTTCACAAGTTTCCTTATTTAATTTTATTGCACAACATATAAGCATATAAGTCATATCTAGTTCAACATACTTTGTTATTGCTTTTGTTGTCTGTTGAAATTCACATTGAATGAATGTACATGTATGTATGAGTTTTGAATAAATATATTTCTATTTAAGATTAAGATTATACATTATGATTCTTAGCGTTATAGGTAAGGATGCTGAAATTGCGGTCTCATAGCCTACAATTTGTTCACATTAACCACGGTAAATAAATGTTTCTCTGCACTCCATTCGTATCTCTGTTAGTCTATCTGTTTTATTAGATTCTCAATTCCTTTTCATAGATGTCTGACTTATTTGTCTGCATTGATGCGCCTGTTTTTGATGTTTTTATACTCGTTTTTTGTTTTAATACAGTACCAGTTTGAATTTGATACCGGGTGTTAGGTTTACTTCTTCCTCCCTTTTTAGCTCACCTGAGCCGAAGGCTCAAGTGAGCTTTTCTGATCAAAATTTGTCCGTTGTCTGTCGTTGTCGTAGTCGTTGTCGTCGTTGTCGTTGTCGTAAACTTTTCACATTTTCAGCTTCTTCTCAAGAACCACTGGACCAATTTTAACCAAACTTGGCACAAAGTATCCTTGGGTGAAGGGGAATCAAGTTTGTTCAAATGAAGGGCCACACCCTTTTCCAAGGGGAGATAATTATGAATTAGAGAAAAATAATGGCATTTTAAAAAAATCTTCTTCTCCAGAACCACTGGGCCAGGAAAGACGAAAATCATGTGGAATCATCCTCAGGTAATGTAGATTCAAGTTTGTTCAAATCATGACCCCCGGGGCAAGGTGGGGCCAAAATGGCCGACCCAAGTTTTACATAGGAATATATAGGAAAAAATCTTGAAAAATCTTCTTCTCCAGAAACACTGGGCCAGGAAAGATGAAACTCATGTGGAATCATCCTCAGGTAGTGTAGATTCAAGTTTGTTCAAAACATGACCCCTGGGGCTAGGGTGGGGCCAACATGGCCCACCCAAGTTTTACATAAGGAGATATAGGGAAACCTTTTAAAATCTTCTTTTCAAGTACTTCAAAACTATGATTAGTGTTATTTATATGGAATCATCCTCAGGTAGTGTAGATTCTAGTTTGTTCAAATGATGAACGCCTGGGGGGGGGGTTAAATTCAAGCCCAATGTGCTCAGGTGAGCGCTGTGGCCCCTGGGCCTCTTGTTACATATACTTAACTGAATCGGGGAAAAATCATGTTTCAATCGTTCAATTTACATGAAAAAATTCCGTTCAAAACTTTTTGTCTTTTTTTCTGCATGTCTTATTTGAGTAATACAACCCAACCTCTTATCATAATGGATAAAGCTGCTCTTATGAAAGAAATCATACTTGTTTGCCTGTTTACCCAGTATGATGACTGCTCATATTGACAGTTGAATACATTTAATATCATAAAAAGTATTCCGCGGAAATAAAAAAAAAACATCGTACATTTTGTGGACATACGAGTATATAACAATCTAAGCTTGCATCCATATCAAACTTCAAATTCCATTTCTTATTTTGTAAAAGAAAGTCAAAGAGATGAATCACTTGGAAATTGAATGTGGAAAAAAAAAACATCTGTAGAAAACAAACGTAAAACATTTAATTTGTTAACTTATTTTTATTTTAAAATAAGTATTAAAATTACAAATATTTTATGACATGAAAGTCAATGGCTTTGAGATTAAATCATAAAGTACATGGAATGCACAATTCAAAAAAAAAATTGTAATTCTAAATTCGCCGAATTGAAGTCGTCAACGTATAAGCAAAGCAACAAACCTCTAAAAACGGAAATACTAAATATGAACTTCAAGACTTCGACAAGTGCGGATGTCAACACATCCAATCCAAAGCTTACAGGAAGATTCTATGTAAAGCAGCTTTAGTTTCGACCAATCTGCTTATGGATCTTTGTTTTAGACAATCGATGAACGTTACAAAATTAACTAAATCACATTAATAAGCTTAAGCTGCAAAGGGCGGTGAAACAATTTCCTTATGCATTGCAATTTGAGCTTTTAAATAAAGATTGATTTGCGAAAAAAAAATATTTCAGCTTTTGCTGCATGATTTGTTGTCATTTAATTAAACATCTCTGAACAAATCTAAGGTTTGCAATTTTACAACCTGGCAATGATCGTTATATTTGTTGCCAGTGTTATTTGATTCCTTCACATATATAATTCTGATTTATAATCTCCTTACGCTTATGTTTTTTTTGTTAGAGAAAATAGTCTATATGACTGCAAAGTAATTTGATAAATTTAAAAATTGTAAGAGATATTTACATGTACCAAATGGTATTCAAGTACATGAAACAAAAACAAAGGAAACATTTTGCCAAGTTAATATAATTTTGTCGTAATTATTGGTTGTGTTTGTCCTCCCTGTTACTCTTCTCTCTTGTGATCTGCTCATAATCAGTATTCATTCTTATAGGCCTCCCAATCACATCAGCATATGTCTCTCGTAGTTCTTTAAAGGATTTCATACATCTATTGAAACGAAAGTTAAACTCTTAAACAGACACTAATTACGATTATGAATACAAGAGTTTCTTTGCATCATATAATTGACAATTACCTGCTTTGGTACCACAGTAATATAGCCAGCAAAAGGGCAACCAAACCAAGTATAGTTGATATTGGTATACATATAGACAAGCAGGCCTCTAAAATTTAAAACAAACTGAATTTATAAGAAAGGAAGAAATCGAAATCAAGTCATTACACATAACCTTGCACTGTGTGTTGAGTCATAAATGGTATCCTGATTTGAAACTTACTCTTCTAAAAGTGGACAATTTGCAATGCGTAGTGTACCTTCCTGAACTAAATTTATAACTTAATCTTATAAAAGTATAAATTCTTTATACCAAAACATATCCTGAAATCTAAACGCTTGTCTTTATTTTATAGTGAGATTTTAATCATTTTATCATGCAAATCACTTTAATTGAATCCGGACTAAAATCTAAAATTAACCATATTTTTCAAAATGTTGATAAAAGACTTCTTTCTTGTTTGCTTTTTTTCAAACGTTAATAAATGTGCAGGAAAATAAAAATTCAGTTAATTAGAATGATTTTGTTTTCCGCAACATTAATCTAGGTCGCAGAGACCATTTAAAAAAGTTTTATACTGTATATAGATATATCGAAAAATGAAACAATTAGTGTTTATGGGGAAAAACAAAAACTTGTGACCGACGGGCGATGAACAACGCAAGGCAATGGGCAGTGACTAAGATGACGTAATAAGAAGTACACTCTTAGTCTATCCACAGGTATATTGAAATCTTTTAGATATAGTTCTTATAATTTCCCACCTCTAGAGAGACCCGATACAATATGGCTGTATTTCCGTTTTCTTTTCATGAAAAAATAAGTAATTTTAAACTCCTAAATTTTTCTTTCCTTTTAGATGATAAATAATTAAAAGTGATATACATGTAAATGACAAATTCAGAATGTTGTAAGAAGATACATGCAGCATATTATCGAGTTATTTCAAATCTGTATTCGAATCAGTTCCCCGTCAAGAACATAAACTCTTTTGAAATACTCACCAAAAAAAAACTTTAAATGAATTTTCGTGAAGATTCTCATAAAAACATCTAATTTATTTTCATATTAACTCGCATGAAAAAGTTAACGAATTTGTCATGACGTCAACAATATAGTACAATGGTTAAAGCATAGCTCCAATTACGAAATGTGATAAGTGCATATAAATTGCGCTCTTCGGGAAACACAAGGGTTGATCAGAAAGTAATGTCACAACTTCAATAAAATTGCCATCAGTCGACGTAAAAAAACAAAATTATAAATGATGAAAGCTACATTTATTTCAAATTAGACCTGAAAATTTCAATTTAACATGATTTATACTTTTAAAAATATCGGATTATATACAACTATATATTATGGTAGTCGCCGCACCTAAGTAACGTCATATGACGAAAACGCGCCATCATACATTTAAACGCTTCCATTTTTTTATTTAAAATATTTGAGATTTACAAATTTCACTTTCCTAAAGAAAACTTTGTACCCATCGAGCACTCACTCTTTTCATGATTAATTCAAACTCCTTTTAACTTAAAATTTCACACATCGCTATATAAACGTCTGTCATTTTTGACAACGTCACACACCACAGAACGTTTTCGTCCGTCCGCCCATCTTTCTGTCTTCTTGTCATCTACTGGGCATTCAATGACCCATCACCAACACCAAATCTTTGAAACCATCTAAACAAATCTCTTATTCAAATTCTTACCCCTGTGAGTCTAATGAATCAACAGAACTCTCTCCGAACGGTGATTTCTCCATTCTGAAG